TTCTGAGGAGACCCTTAGAGAACCCATATAGAGTGCTTTCTAGGATTACCACATTTGTTTACCAGCTCTCATCCGCTGTTGGATGAGATTTGCACTTGGGTATGTTGACTCTTCTGCACTTCTGGATACCTTAGGCGGAATGTGGAAAGACATGCATGTGATAGGATATGGCCCCCTGAAGTAAGTCTGAGACTGATGCAGGCCTGGGCAAATTCCCCTGATTGGGGGAGTCAAGTCCTACACAGAAGAGAGAGAGAGAGGGATGGAGAGAGGAAGGGAGGGAGGGGAAAGAGGGGAAGGGAGGGGGAGAGACTGAGGGAGAGAGGGAGTTTGTGGCTGAGAGTAAGAAAGAATTCAAACACATGCCAGAGTTAGAGTCAAAAGGAAAGTTTATTAGAGAAGGGATAATGTTCCGTAGAAGAAAAAACAATAGAAAGCAAAGACAAAAAGCCAAGAAAAAAAAAAGCCTCAGGTATTGAGGAATCCAGTTTATATATCATTCTTAGTTTCTATGAATTACTGTTTATAGACTTTGTTTACATTTTCCTTTGATAGGGGCATACAGTGAGAAAGGATAAGTAAAAGGCCTGCTGGCAATTACCAGCCTTTGATCCATAGGTTTCTCATAATTATAGCCATAGGGAATGAATTCAGCATATTGCAGTCTGTGAATATAGCTTGATTTAACATTTAGTTCTCTTGCCTCCTTCGTACATTAAGACTGTACAGAACGGTGCCACACCTATGGCCGAAACAAGACCGGGTCAGCACCAGAGGAGTCTGCTGCAAAGCAGATGACATGTTTTCTGATACAAGACTGTCAGCAATAGGCTCTGAAAGATTGATTTATGAATTTTGTGATCATGCAACTTGCGTAAAATGTAATTGTTTTTTAATACAATTTTTTCTCTGCATTGTATGATCCTATTTTATTTCTGGTACAAAGTGGCTTTAAAACTCTACACAGAGTCATTTAGTCTTTGTCCCTCCATACAGAATCTTAAAGTCAAAAAAAGTTAATTTCTATTATAAGTGTTAACAATATGTGATTTCCTCTTTTTTCACATCACCTCTGGAGCTTTGTATTTACATTTCTTGTAAATTCATCAGTATTTAAAAAGGCTCCTCGGGCATGACTTTTCCAAAGGCATTTTCTTTGTTGGGTATACTATGACTCATTATCTGAATCAAAGATCTGCAGGTCTAGAAACTCAGTATGAATTAGGGTAAGTCATGCTCTCAAAGACTTATTAATGAACAGAAATATTAAGAGGTAAATTGTCATGTAGCTTGAACTACTCAGTAATTTATATTTCTCTTTTTCAAAATCTACACTGGATCAAATTATTTTCAAAGAGTGCTTTAGTGAAATTGGAACCCAAACAAAAGCAGTGTCATAATCTTAAAGGCTGATACCATCAAATTGTGATTGTCTCCTTTTTTTTTCACAGAGCTATAACTTCTATGTGGATTAAAATTTTAGCTCTCAGACATTCACATCTGGAGACATACTGAAATTCTTTAATTTTCTTTTTATTAAAATTCAAGCCTTTTTTGTTAACATATCTTTCTGTAAGTTAAAATACACTAGATTTTACTATAGTATAAACAACTATATAGTTACAGATTTCCATTTAATCCAGTGATTATTATACTTTTTGGATTAGAATGTATCTCAGATTCACTCACTCACTCGATTTGGAAACAGTCATATACACAAGGTTTGGAAAAATAACTTTCCTAATTTAGTTGTAGTCTTCTAAACAAGTTTTAAAGCTTCATTATTAAAAAAATTAGTCATTTCCATTCATCTGATACTGAGGGCAACATAGAGTGGCTATTTTTAAAACTCCTTAAAATTAGAAACCTTGAAAGGGAAGATAAGAATTAACCTATAATTTTCTATTCAAACCCACTCATTTTATATAAGTGAAAATTCAATATTAGCAGATCCTCAATGAAAATATTAGTAGGATTCATTTAATTAATAGGTACTGATACCTTATCAGCTTTAGCTTATCTTGAAATTAGGATCCTCTCAAAACCTGGGACCCTTATCCATGATATAACTACATAATGTTAAAAAGAAAAGGCCCAAACAAAAAACTTTTAACTTGTTAAAAACTTGAAAGAAGTGAATTGTGATACTTGAATATGAAAGTCATAAAAATATCAATTTGTACATAAATAGGGTAATTTTAATATGTGAATAATGGCACTGAGTTTTGTTAAAGCCCATTGTTGGCTTTTTAAAATTTCTTATTCTCTAAGCTTTTGCTTATTAACAAGTAACAGCTATCAAAATTATTGGAGGTGTTTTGTGTTTTCCGAAACCATGCACATGCTCCTTCTTTCCAGGGAATTGCTGCCTGTTAAGAAATAACTGCTTAAAATGTGCGTTATGTTGATAGTTGGGTTTTTTTTTTTCCCCAAGATGCCATTGAATACAGGGAGTGTGTGTGCTGGATTTTAAATATTCAGATAATTGTCTCATTGTTTCCTGGCTTTTGGTTTGGAAAATAATGCTTACGATAGCTATGGAAATTTATTGAAAAATGAGAGATTTTTAACAAATCAGAACTAGTGGTTCAGAAGTAGTAAATGTAGGCTCCTTCACATTTATGCCATAGAATTACATTATTTAGTTTTCTTATAAGAAATAATTCACTATTATATGTAGTAGTCATGTTGTTTTATTCTCTACAGGTATGTTTGCAATTCGTGCTGATCATGATTTTGTAGTACAGGAAGACTTCATGAAAGCAGTCAGGAAAGTGGCTGATTCTAAGAAGCTAGAGTCTAAATTGGACTACAAACCTGTGTGATTTATTGTAAAGATTTTGATGACTGCATGACAGACATTGGCTTAATATAAAAATAAAGTTAAGGTAAATAATGTATGTATTGGCAATGATCTCATTAAAAGCATATGAATAAATATGAATAACAAAAATTAGTAATTCGGTAATTCTACTTTTAAGATTGGTACAGTAGAAATTTGTATATTTGTTAATGTTGCATTTATTGCAGCAGAAGTTATAAAAGTATGTTGTAGCTTTTCGTATTTGCTGTGTGAACATTTTGTAAAACATTGAAAATTGTTTGAGATAGTAGTGCAAAAGAGCATTTCTTATGTCTTATTTTATATCATTTGTTTTCCTCATCCTAAAAAGTTGAATAAAATCTGTTTGATTCAGTTCAACATATATTGTCTTTTGTAAGAGTACTTTTACTGTAGTCCTTTAGGTTCTTTAGTAAGTAAACTATTTAACAACCAAGATGAAATTGTATTTAGATCGTTGGCTTTTGAATTTTATTTTAAAATAGTACCCACACTGTTTTTCTAACAGCATCTTTTCGTATATAACATAGATGTATTTGTATGTCTATATATATATTCCTCCTTCCAGAAGGTATTTATTCTTCACCTACTATGACTAGACTGTATAATAGTTAATTGAAATAGTACATGCATATCCATAACCTTTTTTTAGATTATGATTGGAAAGTAATATTTGCTAATAAATATGACTTGTTTTATTAAGTTATATCAGATGATAGTTCCCTTTCGAGACTGTTAAGTTCTGGATGCTCTTCCTAGAAAAATTCACACATATGTATATACAATTTTGCATATACTAAAACTTAAGGATATTTATTATTTCCCAGGCTTACCCATGGACTCTATAGGTATCTATGGATACCAGGCTAAGAGTGTCTGATGTAGGGGATGTTGATGTCAGAAATGTTCAAAACAAAGTTCTGTTACCTATACACAATTCTTTCTCATATCATGTGGGAATTAAAGCTTTAACAGATTACAATAGGAAGTCGTCATTGGGCATCAGTTGAACTTATTAAAAGTGTTTTTGAAACTTTAGTTTCATAAGCACCAAAGAACAAACAATATATGACATTGTACATTCTTCTAATTAAAAACTTACTAGCAGAATATTGTGCTTTTTATAATTTTAAAAGAAAAAACATAGTGATAGAGAAAATCAATCATTCAAGCTAACCATCTAATACTCAAGTTATTGAATAGTTCCCTATCTATTTTGGCAGTGCATTTCATAAATATGACAATATAAAAAGTAATAGGATGTTTGTGTGGGGACGGTCTAGGTAAAACATCGATGTGATTCTTTTTTATCCATTGTAATTCGCAATTTAATTAATAAATGACTTTCTTGCCTTTTTACTTTGGTTGTGGTCGTTTTTTGAAAAATCAGTTTGGTGTACAAACTTTTAATGTTTAAGTGTGGGTTCTTCCACTTTTAAGCTTGATTTTCCTCATCTGTTTGAAAACAAAGGATAATAGTATCTCTCTAAGCCCAGATAAAGTATATACCTAATCTTTATTAACAATACAGTATTAACTCTGACTCCTTTTGAAAAGATACTGAAAGCCATGTAGTTAACATGATGAAATAATAAACTTCAAATTAGAGACCTTTCAGTATTATGTACAATTTACTGAGCTAGAGATTATATTTCTATTTCTTAGAACTCTATTTGCCATTTCTAGTTGTCATATACCTGTCTATTGTTTCAATTTGCTTAAAATTGATGGGTGTTTCGTTTTCTGTGTAGCATAATAATTTTAAGACGAATGCCCACTTTTTTAGTTATAACCTCAACACAGATTGGGCAGGATTCTGAGAGGGGAATCCTTTCGGATGTCAGCTACGGGTGGCTAGGATGTTTTGCCCATTCTTACAGCAAAGAAGAGATTAGCGTCTGTCTGCAAAGGCCAGAGCTGTTTTGGATTGTCCCACTGCCTTTCCCAGCATCCACAGTCGTTTTCCCCTTCCTACCGCAGTCCCACCTCCTCCGCACCCAGCGAGCTCTCGCCGCAGCGCCCCCGAGGCCCCGCCCCCCGCGTCTGCGCCTTCGCGAAGGGGCGGTGCGGTAGCGCGTTGACACCTGGCGGCCGCGGGGGGCGGGCCAAAGGCGAGCGTGGGCTGGGATTGGCTGGGGCTGCGCAGGGAGGGCGGGGGGAAGGAGGGAGACGGTTGTAGGGCTCGTGCTGGTGCCCGAGCTTGGGCGGCCTGAGGGGCGCGGAGTCTCGGTGAGCAGGGAGACGGCAGCAGCATGGCGGCCGGGTATGAGCCGCCCAGCCCTTTTCATCCTCGCTGTCGCCGCCGCCGACGGAGTCGCTGGGACCCATTGGTCTGCGTGTGTTAGTTGTAAGCCCGCTGCCCGCCCGTCAGCCCTGCGGTCCACCGGCCCTCCTTCCTTTCACCGCCACTGCCAGCCCAAGGGTAGGGCTGGCGAGTAACTCCTACTCCTACCCCACCTACCAGCCCGCCGGCTGGGATCATGGAGGACGTGAAGCTGGAGTTCCCCTCGCTCCCACAGTGCAAAGAAGACGCCGAGGTGAGTCTGCCCAGTGACTGCCACGCACAGGCCTCCCCTTGTGGCTCTAGGCTGAGGGGCGACCCCAGGCCCCAACCGTCGAAGCTCCCAGCTTTAGGGGAGCCCTGTTGCCTCTTGAGTGCGTCCCGGGACCTCGGGGTGGAGCCTCCCTCTCTTGGGGGTGGGGGGTGTGTGTGTCTGTATGTGTGTGTGTAGGCTCTTACCCTGGCCCAAGAGTTTCTTTTTCCCTCTTGAGGCGTCAGCGTAGGGTCTGGGTCAGTTCTACTTAATTTAATGACATGAGCAAAAGTAGTCCTTTCCCCCGTAGGTCGGCGTCGCGGATTTGGAGTAAGGTTCTCCTTTTATTGGCAAAGCAGTACTAGAGTAATGTTTTTAATCTCAGTTTGAGGGATAGCTTTGCTGTCATAGATTCACTTGTGGGACACTTGGCCCCACATGTGGAATAGACCCGGGCCTGAAAATACAAATGCGCCTTCCAAAATTTCCCCAAAGTAGTACTCTTGGTTTTGTTTTGTTTTGTCTTGTTTTTTGAGGCAAAGCTATGACCAACAAAATAAAATGTCACAAAATTTAAATCAGAAAAATTGTCCTTTGGCGAGAAGTTAGTAATGAGAATAAAATTGTTTATAACTTGGTCTCCTGATTTCCAATTTGGTTAACCCACCTTCTTTCCCCATCCAACGTTTCTATCGCTTTCCCCCTCATCTATTGCTAGTTTAAAATACTCTGTGGTATTGCAGACTACTTAATTAGAATTTCTAAAGTCTAAATTATTAACAGGAAGAGGATACTTAGTTAATGCTTTTAACAGGATCAAGAAAGAAAGAAATCTAAAATTTCTAGTTTTAAATATCTTAAAATTAATTCAAAAAAGAAAGCTCTATTTTTAAGAGACTATTCAATTTATACCAAATATTCCTTTTGTTTAATATCTTCATTTGGGTTTCACATTTTTTGTTTGGAGGGATCTTTTGCTTGTGGTAGTGATCCTTGAGAATTGCATATTATTTTCAGAGTACATTCTTAAATAGGGAAAAAATTGAATTTATGTTAGTTAAAAAACGAATTTACCAAAAAAAAAAAATGAATTTACAGTTTGTTCATTGTTTAATATGAAATAGTGTGAATGAGGTGTATGCTTTTATAGCCTCAAAATTATTCAGTAATTTAAGCACTGGAAGCAATCTTAGGAATAATGTAGCACATTCGCATTTTTAGGTGAAAAAAAATCGTAACTTTCTGAGTATAAGAGTTAGGCCAAGGTAACAACACAGTAGCACAAGATACAGGGAAGACCTTGGTATCATGATTTTTAATTGTTCTTTTTAATACACCTCAATTCTTCACTGTTCTAATCTTAAAAATTCTAGTTTAAAATGTTTGCATAATTTACATTTAATCTTTTATTGTGTATATAATGTTTTATACCTGCAAAAATTGTAAAATCTTAATGAGAATATCGCCTTCTTTCCTGTGTGGGATAGAAGTAATGTTTAAAGCCTAGTAGATAATGATGCAAATATTATCTATTGAAAGCCAATTTATTCCTTATTTCATAGCATTAGATGTTTCTTTTTGTTGCAAAACTCAGACTGGTTTAAACAGAGTAAAGAAGTAACGAAATCCAGAATGGTAGGGGTGGCAGCTTCAACTCAGAGACTTGACTACACAGTATTATAGTGCATCACAACTGCCTCTCATCAGTGCTTCTCTCTACTTTCTCTCAGGGTCTTTTGCATTTTCTTGGGCTTCTCCACAAGTATGGAGTTTGGCCATCATCTGTTCCGCACAGCCTTATGGAGCCTGCACACTGAGAAATAAAAGCGCCACTCTCCAAACTTCATTATTTAAAATCTAGAGAACTGGCTCAACGTAGGTCATGTGCGCATCCTTTGGATCAGTCACTATAGCCAGGAAGGGGTGAATACAATGAAGGACCCAGGATAGGTCATAATACCTTGACTGGAATAGTGAAGTTTATCATTGGTAACCCTCCCACCGAAACCATAGGAAATTTCCATAGAAGATGGAGAATGCTTTTTAGGCAGACAGAACTGTAAATAACCAGTAAATGAGGAATGTAAACTCATGGTAAACTGACTAATAAAACAATATTAATTTTCTCATTTCTAATGAGATATGTGAGGCATCAGATGGTTCTAAACATAGCAATCACTTCCACACTCCCTTGGCACACCTTTGTTTAAATTATAATCCAAATCGTGCTTTCGGAAAAATGGAATTCAGGTAGTTATGAATGCTCTTAATGATTAATGTGATCAAGGTATGATAGTTTGATGATCCTGTCATCTCTATAAGAATGTTTATTCTTTATAGGACAGTGCTAATGTTACTGGTCTAAAGTCCATGCGCCTGACTCTTGGAAAGGCCAAAGTTTGTAGTAAGGAAAAGTTTATTAATTGAGAAGATGGGAGAGCTAATCCTCAAATTCGTCTTCAAGTACAAGAGTCCAGGCTTCTGTTCTGTCACTGGAAGGGAAAATAGGAGGGGCTGTTTATGTACAACTCAATCCCCAAACAGAATTTCCTTAATGATTAGCATGCCTATATGCAAGACAAAACAGGAGCTATTTGCCCGAAGGCCATGTATGGAACAATGCTTACTTGAATAAGATGGAGTCAGACCAAGCCTTTCACTCTTGTGCTAGCAAAAATTTAGTTGTGTTTAAATCAGTTTACAAAACGGTTGGCACTCCGTTGTTTAAAACTTTGCTGTGATAACCCCTAACATCTGCAAGGTCCTGTGTGACCTGCCATCTGTCTACTCTAACCTCTTTATGAGCTACTGTTGCAGAAAAGTTGGAGAAAAACTCAGACAAGCGAGAAATCAAGCTGCACCCTTAGGTTAGGAGAAACTCAGTTTTATTATGCAGGTGGTCCTAGAAGAGCTAGTGCTCTGAAAATCTAGGCACAGAATTTAGGGTCAGTTTAACTTTTTATACCTGCATTGTTACAGTTGGCATGGGCTGATTTACAGACCCCTGAAATTGCTATGGGCAGTTACAGAGCATGGGATTTTCTAGCAAGCACTAAAGCAATACATCTTTAGGGGAGAGTGAGTTCTCAGTTGACCCCAAGATCTTTGGCCTTGCAGCAAGCATGTTTACAGAAGCAGAAAAAAGACCTGATTAGAAATGTTGGCCAATTAAGTGGGAAATTCCTCTTCACTGCTCTTCCCCTTGCTCCTTTCTCTGTATGCCCTAGCCATATTCATCATCTTTAATTTCCTGGAATGCTTTAATTTCTCCCCCTACTTTAGGACCTTTGCATTTGTTGTGTTCCTTTACTATGACTGCCAGGACTCCCCTTACCCTCACTTAATTAGCAACAGTCATGCATTGCATAATGACTTTTGCATCAACGAAGGACCACATATACTGCGGTAGTCCCATAAAATTATAATGGAGCTGACAAAATGCCTTTTGTGTGGTGACATTATAATTGTCTAGTGCAATGCATTATACCAATACCGTTAGGTTACAGTTGCCTACAGTATTCAGTACAGTAGCATGCTATAATGGGTTTGTAGTCTAGGAGCTGTAGGGTAACAGAATTTGTCATCCCCAGATACATCTCTGGGGCATAAAGATTATTTAAGGCTGGTTAATTTTAAGAAATGGCACATATGACAGAAGCTTTGGAAACCAAGTAGTTTATCCTTTGTTAAAGACATTTACCTTTGTAAGGACAATCTTTATTTGTAAGGGTGTCTTGTCTCCCCATTCCCCACCAGCCAAGAAGAGGGAGATGACCTTATCTCCAGAGGCTCTTTATCAGTGCAGAAGACAAATCTGCATAACAGCCTTGCTGTTTTTTAATGTGCTTTTCCTGGTAACCTCCCATAACTGACTACCCCACCCCTACCTCCTTTTGTCTTAAGCTGAAGATGATATTTAAGGTGGCAGCTTCAGCCATTTTGATGAGTTACTCAGTTTTCCTAGGTTTTTCCTGTTAAACAGAAAACCTGCAGGCCCCAAATGGCATCACTTGTGCTGAAAGCCCATGATACCAAACCTAGATTTAATACCTGATCTAATTGCAGTTTCCATCTCTCCGAGAAACTGTTAATCAGTCTGGAATTTCCTGATCAACACTGAGGTAATCTGCCTGATAAGACCTCCCGCCTTCCCCTGAGGGAAGGTGTCCTTGCCTGAATAATCCATTCTTGATAGTTGAGTCTTACTTGTGGCAAGATTATAGTATTTTAGATGTGAGGAAGAAATGAAGAGCTTACAGTACCAATTTTTAAACTGGTTGCATAGTTAGGGCTGTTGGTTTTATAATTCAAAACTTAATGTTTTATTTTCAGATAGAAAGGGAAATATAATTTATTTCAGTTGTAGTTTAGCAACTTAAATGTTACCCTTTCTATTTATCTTTTGATTCCCATAGTACAGAAAAAAAATAGGAATTGCTTAATATCTCTAACTGAGCATCCCTCTTCTAGCTCCTTTACATTTAAAATGGTGCCCTTTTAACCTGACTGTAGAGTGGTATCACCCAGGAGCTTTTTAAAAATAGCCATGCCTGGGCTGACCATCACCTATTCTGATTTAATTGGTCTGAGATAGAGCCAGATAATTCTAATGGTAGCCAGGTTTAAGGCTAATGGATTTAGAAGCATTTTACTCCAATGCTTCAATGCCTTTCCATATTCTACCAACCCTCTTGTTTTTGAGTGAAAATCACCTTTGTTCCTTTGGTTTAGGCAGAGCTTGAGCTAGGGGTGGAAACTAAAGAAAAGGGCTTATTCTGGAGAGGATACATTATTTTTGGAGGAGAGAGACTGTAATACTAATTTTTCTGTTTTGTGAAATGTCCCAGCTCAGGTATAGTATTCTGATATATTTTTTTCCCCCGAACTGCTCCCTCCACCTATGTAAAATTTTTAATCTATGTGGTATTTCTAAAAATTATGTGTTTCAATCCACCTGATCCATATGATAAAAATTAAATTTTTGCTTTACCTGATAGTTATAG